GGGGTGTGGGGGAATGCGCTCCACGGAGGGGGCGCGCGACGCCGGCCGTACGCGGGGTGTCTCGAACCCGCTCGGGTCATGCTCCGGACCACGCGAACTGTGCCGGTTTCGCCCCCGGGCGAGGCGTCCCCGGGGCGCCCTGCCGCTTGTGTAAAACGCCCCTCTGTGCCCCTGCAGCAGGGGGGGGGGGGGCGCCGGCCCCTGCAGCAGCCCGGCGCCGTGGGTCTGGGAGCCGTCTGACCGCGCACTCCCAGCGACCGGCGTCCCCCCGCCCCCCTCCCTGGCCCTCCCCCCCCTGGCCGAGGCGCGGGCCCTGCCGGGCCGCCCTCGCGCCCTGGCCCCCCGCCCCCATCACGGCCCCGTCGTCGGCCCGGCTCTGTTGCCCTGCGGCCTGGAGGCCGCGCCGTGAGCTCCGGGCAGCCTCCCCCCCCCCCCCGCACATATGGGAGAGTCAATGCTGTGTCCGGACGAACAGGCCCCCTCCGCGCGTCCCCCGGCTGTTATTCCCCCCCCCCCCGGCCGTATATTCGGTGCCCCCTCCTCCCAGTGCGGGCATGGTCGATGCCCCCGGCCCCCGCGCCAGTGGCAGCGTATTGCCGACCAGGAGGGGCGCGCGCTGAATGACCCACTCCGGACCCGGGGCCGCACGTCCTACGGTCTCCCCCCCACCTCACCCCCCGGCCCCGCTCCCGCCGCTTGGCCAGCCACCAGCGCCGGGGCCTGGTGCCGGCGCCCGGCACGAGCCCACAGCTCACTCTATGATGTTTCGGCGCGCAAATCCACGCCCCCCCCCGTTCCCTCCCCCAGCCACGCCCCGGGCGCCAGGTGGGAACGGCCAGGCATCCCTGGGCAGCGGCATTCCAGGGCCGCAGCCCGCCGGTATCACGAGCCACATCACCCCATCGACGCATGATGTATTCGATCGGGGCCCTCACAGGTACCGTGACGCTGAGGACAGGACGGGCGGCACCCATCGCAGGAGGTCCGCCTGGATGATGCGCTTTTGCTTGGCGATGGCCCGATCGAAGTCGGCCTTGTGTCGCGGCGTCAGGCAGATGATGTGCGTGCCGCGATGGTACCGGAGGAGGCGCATGGCCGCCAGGGTGTGCAGGACATCCTCCGGACGGATGGCCGTTCGTGATGCCAGTTCATCAATGCTGATCTCATCCTGATGGTCGATGACTGGATGTGTGTGTGTGGGGGGGGGGGAGGGGGGAGAACAGGGTAAGGGGAGGAGGAGGGACAGCAAAAGGAGGTGGCAGGAGGGGGAGGATGGCAGGGCGATATGGCGCGCAATGGGCCTGCTTCGGGAGTGGGGGCGTACGGATGGCCATGATCACTTCGAACCAATATTGCCGATAACTCAACAGACCGAGATCACTGAGCGGCTTCTCGGGGCTTCCCACCTTGCCCTCCTTCTTGCTCAATTCATAGCTGAAGGCTGTGCATGGGGGGGGGGGGGGGGGGCGGAAGCGGGGACGGCGGCGATTAGAAGGGGGTTCTTCTGGCAGAGCGGTCAAAGGGCAAAAAAAAAAAGGCACCCCCCGCCTCCCCGTCGGGAAGGACAAGGAAGAGGCACACCAAGACCGGGCATGGAGGAGGCACACCAAGACCGGGCATGGAGGAGGCACACCAAGACCGGGCATGGAGGAGGCACACCAAGGCCGGGCATGGAGGAGGCACATCAAAAGCACCCAGAGACAGCAGGGCGCCAGTCCGGAGGGAAAGGAAGAGTGCCCCTTTCGCGCTCGGGGCACGCACCAATCAGCAGTTTCCCATATCCCCGACGCTGGTACTGCGGCAGGGTCAAAATACAGGCCAGGTTGTAATCCTGGGCCGAGTCCTTCTCCTTGGAGAAGTACCCAACCAGGTGTGAGCCACTCTCATCGGTGATGGTCATCACATAGAAAAGGAAGGGGTCGACATCGTGGTGCAGGGTCTTGTGATCGAGGAAGAGCTTGCTCAACAGGCACAAGTTCCGACAGTAGGTCTTCTGCTTGCGGCCATCCACCTCGTGGAAGGACAGCGGCCCGTCGCGGCAGATCTCGGCCCCGGGCGGGCCGCGGACCTGGCACTTGGCTCGGTGCCGGATGAACTCCGCCTCCGTGGCCCGGTACGTGAGGCAGAACTCGCAAATGTATATCATGGACGACTGCTGCACCATCGGGAAGGGGTAGGGCGAGAAGTACCAAGTCTCCACCACATGGCGGCCCAGCTGGATGGCGTCGATGTTCTTCATGCGGGAGACCTCGTCCGTGCGCTGGGTCAGCGACCCGCCGGCACGCAGTCGGCGAAGATCCTGCTCCAGGGTCAGATTGGCGCCGGTTTCCCCGGGGGCCGAGGCGGCCAGCGAGCTGCTGGCCGCCGCCTCCACCAGCGACGGCGACAGGACCTCGTGGCTGGCATCCGGCAGGCCCAGCAGGTCCGGCGAGCTGACAATCTTCAGCCCGGCACCCGCCTCGACCTGTGGCGTGTCCGGCCCGGCCGACTGCTGGGGGGTGATTTTGTCGAATTTGCGCTTGCGCGAGGCCACCGTGGCCGCCGGGTCGGCGGTCTTCTCCTTGGGCCAGACGATTTGCCCCGGGTCCGAGGTGTCGCACAGATCCTCCGGCACCCACTCGTCAAGGCGCTTGTTGAAGTCCACGAAGTGGACGTAGTACACTGGGACCAGATCGACGGGGTCAGCGGGCCGGCCATTTGGGGTGACGCGACAGAGGCCCCAGGCGGGGGGGGGGGGGGGGGGGCCCAAGCCGGACGCACTTCGAGGTTGCTTGTTGTTGGGCGGCCTCATGCCCAGGATGATTCCCGGTTGCTTGAGGTTGGCCGAGCGTTTCAGCACCGGGAGCTTGGTGCCGACGGTGAGGATGCCCGTTTGCCGGAAGAGCACGGCGGCCGGGGGTTCTGGGCGCCCCGGCGCCGGAGGGCCATGGCGGGCAGGAGGGAGCAGCAGCAGGTCAGTGGTGGCGATGCCCCGCCGGGAGGTGAGCTGTCTTCGTGTGCGCATGCTTGCAAGGGGGCGCACCATTTGTGGCTGGTGCCGCTGGGCCGGTGGCGCTCGCCGGAGACTGGGCCTTCGACGGGGAGGGCATCCTCTGCTGCGGGGAGAGGGGGGCGAGGGCAGGGGCAGGCAAGTGGCCAAGCCCAATGGCGCAGTCGAGGGGAGGAGCAGAGGGGGGGGGAGGGCGGACGGAGAGCGGAGAGGGGGGAAATGCGCGGAGAAGGGTGCCACCGCGCCGGGAGGACAAAGGCGAGGGTGCGAGGGGGGGGGGAGAGGGGAGGAGGAGGGACTTGACGCCCCCCAACTGGAGGGGCCCGGCCGGCGGGGCGGAGCTGGAAAACTGTGGACACGATCAAACGCCGCATGCCAACGGACGTCCATGGTGTGCCCACGCACCCCGCCGCGCTGTCTCATGCATGGCAGGGCGCCCCCCC